GGGGGGGGGGGGGGGGCAGAGCTGGCTGAGGAAGCCGGAGCCCCTCAGGGAGGACACTCCCCTTGGCAGCACTTACCTGGCCTGGCTCCCCACACGGCGCAGGCGGCTGGTACTCCGGCTACCCCTGCTCCCAGGGAGTGAGGGCAGAGCCATGGCCGCCTCCCCAGGCCTCCCAGGCACGCTGGGCGAGGCCTGCCGTCAGTGCCGGGACAGCTGTCTGCTCAGAGGCTCTGTGGAACTCCCCCTTTTGGGGTGGGAACTGGATCTTTTCTTCTGCCTCTACCCAAGGGGATGACACGGGGACAGTGACAGAGGACAATGAGAAGCAGCGTCTGACAAGCCCAGTGCACAGGGAGGGTCCGCAGGGACCGCCCTCCCCCGGCCCCGCCTCTCCTCTCCAGCACACTGCTGTTTCCTGGTCAACATCTCGCTCTCCTGGGGCTTAAGGTAAACATCACCCTGACACCTGGGGCTCGGGCAGGTTAGGGGGAAACGTTCGCAACCCAGACGGTGACAAAGCGGTAGGTAAGTGGGAGGCAGGGCTGCTCCCTGGCCCCAGGAAGGATACATGGCGGAGACCCAAGGGCTGGTGGACGCGCTGACAAAGAAGCAGGAGAGGCTCCACACGGCCATGGCCACGGGTGTCCTCTGCGTGAAGTTGGAGAGCGACAGCATGACCCAGTCCCGGACCATGGGCGCCTGTCCCGTGCTGTGCAAGGTCTGGAACACCTGGGGGGAGGCCCAGAGTCAGGGGCAGGGCCCAGGAGGGAGACACACCCTTTCACACACCGAGAGTGCTGGTTTCAGGGGGAGGAACCAGGCCACTGGCAAATCCACAGGGCAGCAGGTCCAGGTGGTGAGCGGCACCCAGGCTCTGAAGCTAGATCGCCGGCTCAGGGGCTCCCGGCCTGCCCTCACCTTGTACACCACGGTGGCCATGAACTGCGGGTAGGGCTGCTGGTTGGACAGAAACTCTCCGATGACTTTGTTCATGACGTCTTGGGGCGGGAAGAAATCATCTAAAAACTGAGGGAGGATCCGCGCCACAACTCGGGCCTCACAGGGAAACCCCTTCCTGATCCTGAAAGGAGGGGACAGTCAGAACCCTGCCCCAGAGCCCTCCCTGGCCCTGCTGGGACCTTCAGGGGCTTTCCACACGGGTCACCAGGGGGGCACTTAAAATATTAACTGGGGACCTCACCGATGACCCGCAGACAAGCGCCCAGGTTTGGGGATCCCCTCCCACGTGGGGCCAACAATCCAAAAAGGGGTGTAAGGCCATGTGCAGTATTGAACGGAAATGGTTTGGGTCATGGGCCTGTAGTAGAGATCTGAACACTCACAATGAGAACACGTCCCTGTGACCTTTTGCTTCCCTCCACGTGCAAGCGCTCCCAGCCACGGGGACTCTCCCTGCCACGTTCTGACGCTAGCACTGTAGTCAGCAGGGACCCTTCTCCTCACCTATCCAGGACCCATTTGCATTCCTGCTGGCTCCTCCCTGACGGACCCAACAACCTGCACCCAAGTGGCATCATACTGGATGCTGGGAGACAGCTGTCAGGCTACCCTAGTGGGGTACCCTAGAGGGCCGGTACCTCCTTCCAGGCGTGCCCGCATCACCCACCTGCAAACACCAGCGGGGACCCAGCACTCACACCTGACATCTCCCGCCAGCCAGTGTCCCCACCTGGACTGAGTGCCCGCACTGCACCTGCTGAAATGTCTCCCTTGGGGACACTGGGATGGAAGCCTCAGGAAGGCAGGGACCTGAACATGGCCCCTGCCTATCACCGGGAACACCTCATCTGGCCAGAGTGGACACGGAGTCTGGCCCAGGGTATGCTTGTGAAAATCCACATGGCGTCCCGCTGACCGAGCTGACCAAGTGACGGCCAAGCAGGGCAGAACTGGCCTCCCCAAGGCCACACACATCATGTCCCCTGGACTGAGGCCTGGAGCAAAACTCGGGTCCCTGTCCCACAGAAAAAGCCCAACAAGGCATAGAGCCCATTTTCCACAACTGGCAAGCGGAGCGGATCCTGGTCCCCGGCGCACAGTGTAGGGAGGCAGGGCTCAGTCCCACTCAGAGAGGCGTGTGCTTGTTCTCTAACCTCCCCCGGGTCTACCGAACACTCTTCCCGAAGCTGTTTGAGGTGGTGCTGCCCTAGGGTCCTGGTGGTACTGAGCCTTCTGGGGCTGGGGCTCCTTTCCCAGAGGCAGCGAGTTCTGGTGGATGTTCCCACCACTGCTCAGGGCCCTAGCCCAGCCCTCCACCCATCTCACTGATGTGCCCCTCGTGACACCCACACTGCTGTGTGCCCCACCTCCGGGAGAGGTGGGCAGGCTGCCAGGGTCCAAGGACTGCCCTCTCCCAGAGCCCTGAGCAAACACGTGCTTATTTGGGACATGAGCAGGAAGCAGGGGGGCTGAGGGGACAGCAGATGCATGTGAAGGCAGCTGCTCTGGCGCAGGTCCAGGCGGCTTGGGCAAAGGTGGGCTTCACTTCTTACCTGTCAAAAAGGACAGACACACGTTCCATGGCCACGATCACAGACTCGCTGTCAGGGGTGGCAGGGCTGGGGTCTGAGGTCCTGCCCGGACTGATTTTCTCCTTTCCTGAAATGAGAGCCACTCAGCATTGTTACTAAAGCTGTAAGATGGGACAGGCTTTGCAGACAGGGCCCCGAACTCACACAGGAGTTCAGTGAATCCTGGAGATGATCTGAGACCAGGTGAGGAAGCCCTGGCAGCCCAAGGCCCAACCCAGCCAGCTGCACCAGGTGCAGTGGTCAGTCAATAGCGGTCAGTTCCCCAGGCATGTCTGACACCTGTACAGCAATCCATGAGACGAGGCTCCAGAATGTCCTCGAGAACTGAGGGGACCTGTGGTCCACATCCCGTGAAGCAGCGGCTGCAAACCCATAAGCAGAGCCGAACACAGGTGGGCCTGAGCCAGCCCCCGGCACTGGAGCTCACCTGTGTACATGCAGGTGAGCATCAGGCCCAGGGCCGCCACGGCCCGGTGCGGGCTGTGCACATTCACTCTGTCCACACTGAGCTTGACCAGGGACTCTGTGTCCAGACGGGAGAGCTGCTCGGACAGCAGGAGGCGCTCTAGGCCCCTCAGGACACAGTGGTAGATGGTGGACGGTGTGGACTCCTCACTTCCGGACAGCATCACCCCACACATCTGTGCGAGAACATGACGTCCAAGTCAAAGCACCATTTTGGGCCTGTCCCCCAGGGGTACCATCCCCCAAAGGGACGCCCCCCAGGACTGCTTACCTGGATGATGGAGGCGGAGAAGTCCGGCCCTACGTCCAGGGGGTAGTTCTCGATCAGGTAGAAGGCAGTGGCGCACATCACCAGCACGTGCTGTTGGCTATGAAGGTTCACGCAGCTGCAACACAGGCAGACGGCTCAGCCACACGCAGGCTCTACCTGACCACGCGCCGTCTCCTGGCGCCTCGGAGACCCCACCTATGGTCCCCACGGGAAGGGTGCTCCCTGGGTCCCCACTGTATCAGGCCAGGGTCAATGTGCACGTTGAAATGTGTAGCCTCTCTTCTCACAGCCCACTTAGCACCCGCCCACCAGCGCCCACTCACTGGGCTATGCCTTTGAGGTTGGAGAGGAGATAGTCACTGACAACTGGGATGAGCTGCTTCGCGGTGTCGTCCAGGAGGTCGCACTCCAGCACGTAGAGGACGCCGTGCAGAGCCCCAATCTTGCTGGGCAGGTGGCTGCTCCTGAGCGTGCTCTCCAGCAACCGGCTGACCGGCTCGGCCACAGCCTTGTCCTAGGGCACAGGCAGAAGCAGAGGCTAGACCCAGGGCGAGACGGAAGCAGCCAGAAAGGGGCTCACCTCAGGCCTGACCACCGAGCTCTGGGAGGACCCTGGTGTCGGGAGTGGCCCAGCTCCGAGGACAGCAGCAGCCTGGGCCTCGCCTGTGTGAGCTGACTCCCCTCGTCCTGGGGCCTGGAGTTTGGGACGTGCCAGGCAGGGGCTTGTGGGACCAGCCCCCAGTGAAAGCCTGGCTCTGATCTCTGAGGGGCCTCCCTGAGGACAGCTCTCCAATGTGTTGTCACGTGCACTACGCAGGACCTGAGCATTCTCCATGGGACTCCGGAAGAGTCCTGGGAGCCGAGCCTGGTCTCCTGTGGACTTGGCCCGTGCGCCCTGTCCCCTCACTGAGTTTGCTTTGTGTCCTGTCGCTGTGGTAAATCACAGCTGAGTACAGGCAAGCCTTGCGGGTGCCCCAGCATAAACCCGAGTGGTCTTGGGGCCCTGACCGTCGTCTATACAAGCTTGACAGTTTCACTTGGCATCCTAAACGTACGCGTTAGGTAGGAACCTACATACTGAGCGCTGTGCTCTCCACCTGAGAGAAGACCCCACAGAAAGCACATGTGGAGGGGCGGCCATGGCAGGGTTCACAGACCATCCCCTGGTGAAGGCGATCCCTGCTGGCGGAGTCCTGCAGGTTCCTCAAAAGCACCAGGAGGCTGTCAGTGCAGCCCCCACAGAGCCCTGTGTCCCTGCCTCCCGAGTGACCGGGACTTTCTTCTCTCCTCCTCCTGCACCCAGACTGCCAGACACCTCTGAGAGACTGCTCCAACTGGTGCTCCAGGGCCCTAGCTCCGAAAACACCACCAGGGGCCAGGGAGGGGGGCAGATGACTCAGGAGGAAAAGACAAGCCCAGAGGCGGATGCCAGCCCTGTGCACAGGGCCCCCACAAGGACTGTCTGGAGGGCAAGCCCCTGCGCACAGCAGGGAGGAGTCCCCAGTGCATCATCTGGCCCTAGGATCCTCTTCAGAAACAATTACCACTTATTTGATTTACTGACAACACAACATTTGCCTAGGGGTCCTGGGCCTGAGCACAAAAACATAATTACAATGGAAATGTACCCAGCAGCTCAAAGTTCCATAAAGACAAAGGGCCTTTCAAGTGTAGCTGCCACTACACGGGCTCCCAACACCCAGAGGGCACAGGCTTTGAAGAGCTGACCCGCTGAAGGAGCCAACAGGCCACTGTCTGTTCCTGGAGGGGGCGCTGGGGCAGGTCACCCAGGGTGGATACCTGCTTTGAGCCTGGGCTTGAGGGTACGAATCCTGTGGGGAAGCAGTCAGGCCCTGAGTGGGCTCACACCCACCTCTGCCTTGTCCTCTATGACCTGGAGCAAGCTGGCCAACACCCTGGTCTCCACATCCTCTCACCTTGGGCATACTGTGAAGAGGGCTCCACAAATGCTACTGGTTGCTGCCGTGGCAACCTGCCGCTGTTAGGACAGATGGGACCCACACACGCACGTGGGGGATGGGTCAGGGCAGGCCCAGCTACACCACTTGCCCACGGCTCCTGTGCACAGCACACGCAGCAGCTCATGTGGAGTGAGGGTCTCTGCCACCAGGGGCGGAAATGGGAACACTGCAGTTATGGGCTCCGCCACATGGTGAGGGCGAGCAGATGCCCGCGGGGGCTCTGTGCAGTCGAGCTACTTTTTTCTAACAGCAAAGCTGATCTTTTTATTTATTTATTTTTTATTGACTTCAGAGAGAGGAAGGGAGAGGGAGAGAGAGAGAAACATCAATGATGAGAGTCATTGATCAGCTGCCTCCTGCACGCCCCTCACTGGGGATCGAGCCCGCAACCTGGGCATGTGCCCTGACGGAAAATCAAACCATGAACTCCTGGGTCATAGGTCGATGCTCAACCACTGAGCCACGCCGGCTGGGTAGACCTGATATTCTTGAACATGCTCCAACACAGAGGGCCCACCTTCCCATGTCTGTGTGATGTCTGTTTAGTAGATACCATGTGTAGGGGACTTACTCAAAGATGCAATATGTCTCCAGCAGCAAAGGCACCTGGGAAACGTTGGGCTCTGTTTAGCCCTCTGTGACTGTTTGACTCCCTGAGGCCTCAGCTTGGTTGACTACCCAGAAAGCCGTCCACAGATGAACACCAGGCTCCAGTGAGGAGGTTAATGAATGTATAGAGCAGGGGTGGGGAATGTCCAGCCCACAGGCCGCATACAGCCTGTGAAATCCTTTGGTCTGACCCTGCCAACACAACCACAGTTGGCACTTGAAATTCAATAAACCCAGGAGCTTTTTTCATAGGTAATTTTTAAGTTGATGATTTCATATGGCCTGTGAGTGGTGCTATAAATATCCAAATGGCCCTTGGCAGAAGAAAGGTTCCCCATCACTGGTCTGGAGTGTGATAAGGGCCTGATGCTGCCTGTTAACTTGGGAGTGCACTGTCCTCTCTGGTGGTTTTAGTACTAACCCCTATGAGAAGGGGCCCTGTCCTGGGAGGCTGTGGATAATTCCCAGCCACCACTGGGGCAGCTGCTTTGCCCGTGTATGTAAGTCTCCCCTCCTAAAGCTCTCATGAATTTGAGTAAGGCCACGTGTCAGTTTTTTGGAATCCATCCTGAATTTAGATTTTTAGGGCTTTCCCCCAACACTGTGTGGTGATGGCCGCACAGAAAGTGGGTGTGGCCGGCTGAGTCCTCATCAACTAGAGGCAGAACGGGAGGAGCTCCACAGAAGGCCATCTGCCCTCTAGGTAAAAGGGACTGTAACACCCACACTCCAGGGTAGAAATGCAGGGAGACTGTGAAACACAGTCCCCAGAAGAGAAGCCCTGTCAACAGGTAGCACGGGGTGCTCAGCACACCACAGGAGAGGTGTGGAGGAGCTACAGAGTGACTGGAGGAGGCAATCCCAGCTCCACCACCTGCACCGCACACCCCAGCGCCCGGGCATGAGCCACTGTGACGACCTAACAAAGTGGGGCTCACCCCCCAAGCACACTTCTCGGACACCTATGGAGAAGCCCCAAAGTAAACAGAGCCCCCAGCATCTCACACTTGCTGTGGACATTCAGGGTGAACTTTCCAAGGCTGATGCTGCACCCACACATTTGGGCCCCACCCAGCGGCCCCGCACCACCCCTTGCTCACCATGCCGAGGACAGCAGCCGCCTTGCAGGTGGCAGGCACCAGGTACTGCAAGAGAATCTCATCTTCTGAGGGGTGCACCCTACGCAGCTCAGTCAGCGTCTGATACATCATCTCAAACTGGTTGCGCTCAGTGAACAAGTCCGAGACCACGAGGAGCTAGAGAGAGAACATTCGGACAGGAAGGGGGAGAGTCCTGCTATCAGGAAAGTGAGCAATGCATCCAAATTGCACATTCTCACAGCCAAGGGAGAACAGACCAGGAAGCCACATGCCCTGACTGGGAAAAGAAATCAGTAAACACCCGAGACCTAAAGTGCAGTGCAAACATATTGTGAAGAGCAGCTGGTCAGCGACACGGACTTACTGGTGCCTGCGTTGTACACGCTGCAGACTGGGCTGAGCTGGGACGCAGCCTCCACCTGCACAGGAACATGCTCCACAGCGGCTACCTCAGACAAGCCCTAGATCTGCTCTGTTCCAAAACATCCCAGGCCCTTCCCACGGCATCGGGGTCAGGCTCTGAACAGCCCCCGGATGGTGGTAGAGATGGTGAGCCAGCACTTAGTAACTGTTTTTAAACCTCTTAGATTTGTCCTGGCTGGTGTGGCTCGGTTGGTTGGAGCATCATCCTGGGCACTGAAAAGTCATGGGTTCAATTCCCAGTCAAGGCACATACCCAGGTTGTGAGTTTGATCCCTGATCAGGGCACATACAGGAAGCAACTGATCAATATTTCTCTCACATTGATGTTTCTCTCTCTCTGTCTCCCCCCAAAAGTATGTCATCAAGTGAGGATTAAAAAAACCTTCAGATTTAATTTCAAGTTCTGAAAATACCGTGCCACATAACCCATGTGACAAAGGCTCTCTAGAGTCCCCTCTAATCTGAAGACTGTAAACGAGTCCTGAGACCAGCAGTCTGAGAACAAGAACTCCAAGTCCTGCTTCTCACGGGGGTCTGTTGGGCTGAGTCCCAGGCCCCCAGGGAGTCATTTATGCACAAGGAAGGGGAGCCTTTAGAGCACCTGCAGCAGCGGGACGTGTTCCTGACATGTCCACGGTGCTGGAGAGAGTCTCAGCCCACCACGGACTGGGTGTGTAGAAAGCTCTTCCTCCACAGGAGAAATGGAGTTATAGTCCCATGTCTCCAACAGTTCCTTCACAGATTCCCGGAGACGACGAACTCTGTGTGGTGTATGTATGTGTACACGTGTATACCTGTACAAGCCCTGAGTGTGCACATGAGGAGACAGTGTGTGTGTGTCTGTGTGTACACATGTATACCTGTCTGAGCCCTGCGTGTGTGCACATGAAGGAACAGTGTGTGTGTGTGTACACATAGGTACCTGTACGAGCCCTGTGTGTGTGCATGAGGGAATGGTGTGTGTGTGTGTGTGTGTGTGTACAGATATACACCTGTACGAGCCCTGTGTGTGAGCTCATGAGGGGACGGGTGGGAAAAACTTACAGATCGAACCACTTCACTGATGAGGATGACAGGTGTCCTTCGGGCAGAGCTTGACGGCAGGATCCAGCGACTGTACAATTCAAGTAAGAACTGCGAACAGGAGTGGATGTCAACCCCGGCCCGGTGTTTCCTGCAGAGCATGGGAGACGGGTCACTCCCCATGCACACAGCATGGAGGTTCATCTAAGAGCATCCCAAACGGTTAATAAACTTCAAATTGCTTTAAACCAAAAGGCGGATGGGCACCTGGAGTTGACCGGAGACGTGGGTGGTGATGAGGGTGCAGGGACATCGGGCTCCTCCTCCTCCTCGCCCCATTCCTCCTCTCTCAGGGGCGTGATGTTGTTCCCCAGCCACACCGAGTGGATGGACACCTTCAGCAGACACAGGGCGCACTGTCAACGCTATGGAGCCGGGCAGAAGGCTCCTTGAGGCTCAGGTGCTGGGCTGCAGGTGTGGCCCAGGGTCCTGGGGACTAAGTGACTCTGTCACCTGGCAGGGTCTATTCAGACCCAGTAGGTTCTGGGTAAAGGGCCCCATAGGCTGGGGGGTGGGGGGTGGGCAGGGCCCTTCAGAAAGCTCTGCCTTTAAAACCAAAGACCTGGAATGAGGGGAGCAGCTGAGGGCGAGGAAGGAAAGAGCCTCAAGAAACGACGCTGCGGCTACCAAGGGGCATCCGAATGCCATCCGGCAAGAAACGGAACAACACAGGATGACTCTGCCAGACTGGCCCTGCCTTACTGGTCGGCACTGGGGGTAAACCCAACTTTTCTGAATGACTTGCTAAGAAAAGCACCCCTACAGAAGGGGAAGTGTGTTCTGGAGATAGTAGGGTGGGGAGGGGTCTGGGAAGCCTGGGGGAGAACCCACAGGGGAGGCAGGGCAGGAGCAAATCCACCTGACATGCTGCCCCCCACGCCAACTCACAGACCACACTCCCTCCTGACAGCCACCTGCCCCCAGGGCTGCTCAAGAGGCTGCCAGTGCTCAGCATGCGCCGCACTGCCCCCATCTCCCTGTCATGTGCATGACTGCCCCCATTTTTCTAATCAAGGGCAGTGGAAGTGCCCACCTAGTAGGTGGATGTGACTGTGCCTCCCTCTGAGCTGGGCGCTGGGCCACCCAGGTCTCGGTTGGTGGGCAGGACCCTAGCCCTTCCATTTCGTACTCACCTAAGTCTAACTCCCACTGTTTCACCACGATTACACACGTGTTCACTATCAATACATAAGACACCTTAAACCCCTCTCAGAATAAATAACGTGAACAAAACGAGTAAAAGTAGCCCTTTCATTTAATTTAAAACGCATTTAACTTTGCTTCTGAACAAGCGAAATGGCCCAAACCTAGGGGACGGGCGTGTGACTTACCTGGCCGAGCTTGTAGCTCATGCTGCCCAGCTCCCGCTCGGGATTGGTCTGCAGCAGAAGCTTGTCGTGGCTGATGAGGGCACCTGCAGGCGACAGGACAGTCAGAGCCACAAGCCCGTGGGCGCCACAAGCCCAACGGGAAGGCACAGCCGTGGAGCACCGCAGGCTGTGAAGTTCTGTCACTTCAGAGCAGTTAGGTGCAGGGCAGTGAGTGGTGCGGGACCATCACTCTTACTCCCTGATGCACCAGCTTCCTGCTCCGCCGAACCGGCTGGGGCTGAGCTGCACGAGCCTGAGAGTCAGCTGGTAGCTGCAGGCAAGGCAGCAGCCCACAGGGAAGCCTCTGGGGGCTGGAGGACTAGGGCAGGGGACAGCACCTCCCGGGACCCTCCTTGGTGCCAGGCTGTCCAGCTCTGCCCACAAGGGGCAGGGTGTGGGCCAATGCACCCACTCAACCCATTTTCTCCACAAACCCCTCACCGGTCTTTCACACCTTCCAGGTCCAGCCACATGAGCCTGCACTTCGTTCAGGTGGATGCCACCCCCGCCCCAGCTCTTCCGAGAGACTGCCCTGTCCCCAGAAGCACGTGCTCTCCTTGGGCTCCTGCAGCTGCCCCGCTGCTCTGTGACAGGGATGCTCGTCTCCTCTCTCCTACTGGCCATAGCTCCTTGAGGGACCTAGTTCACACCCAGGCGCGTCGCACACTGCCTGGCCACATGGAAGCTTCCAGGTAAGGTTTTCAGGACGCTGAAACCTGCAGGACCTAACAACTTCTAAACAACCCAGGAATCACAGAAACTGAAGCCTAAAATACTGTTCATCCAACAACAATGGAAAGTGTGCGTTAAAGAAAAACTGACAACATTCCCTTCTAACTGTTCGCTTCCAGGCTTATTTCCTCAAGACAGTTAAAAACTCTTGGTTAAAACTTCCCCAGTCCTGAGGGAGACGTGTATTTAAATGGATTAGGGCAGCACATTAAGTCAACAGCCTCCAAATAAAACCATGATTTAGTCTTTCTGCCCGATCACTGTTGTCAGTATGCTGGCCGCATTCGCGTCCTGGCCCAAGGACAAGCAAGCCCTCCCAACAGGTACCTGTAGTGGCTGGAGACAGAGAGGGAACGGGATCCCAGGCTTGGTAGAGATGGTGGGTAGCGATGTTCTCCCTCTTCGACACCATTGCTTGAATCTCCTGCTCCACAATTCCTCTGATCACACTCAGCTTCCTCCCAAACCTAGAATCCAGGACAAAGGTTAGACGTTTGGTTCCTTCAGAATCTAAAATGGGAAAGCCACCAGGACCACCCCCAGCTCTGCCTGAAGAAAGAGGTACCTATGGTACCACTGACCCTGCCTTGGCAGGCAATTCCTGCTGTGCCTCGGGCAGGCGCTCTGTTAGTGTGCCAGCTCTTGCTCTGCTAGTCAGATGGCCCCCGAGCCCCCTCATGCCTTGTTTCCATTGTCGCTGGTCATCAAATCACTTTTGGATTTGCAACTCTTGCCGCACAGGAACACACACAGTGCTTTTATTTTTAATTTCAGCAACAAAGGGAAGGGCCCGGGTGAAGCACGTGATCACCCTGGGTGGGGTGGAAGGGCACCTTGCAGGTCCCACCATGCTGTGCCCTGAGACACGCGGCAACGCAGGCAAACCTGGTGTCGAGAGCTTTCAGGGGTTTGTTCCGAGGCTGCTGCTCTAAGCAGCTCACAGCTGGGTTGCCAGCCACGGGCACAGTCATCGCGCTCAGCACCAGAGAGGTGATGGCCTGCACGGCCAGGACATTGATCTGGGTCCTCTCCGTGTCTTCCTGGAAGGATAGCCCACACGTAATCAAGTCACACGAGCAGCCAGATACCACAACCACCTGTGCCCCACCTGCATGCTGACTCCCAGTCTGTGGCTCTCAGACCACTGGCCTTGTGGGAAAGAGCCCTGAGTGCGACAGTGGAACATGTCTTCCCATCCAGGCTTCTGTTTTGTCTGCTATACCCACCACAGCCCCCACACACTGGTCACTTGGAACAAATCTGGGCAAGTGTCCACTGTGCAAAGAAAGGTCTCCAGCCGGCACAAACCTCTAACTAAGAGTTACTTAAATGGCCTCATGAGTTTTAGGAACTTTGCAGAAGACAGCCTGTTAGCTTCTACATGTGGCACTGCAGACCATGCTGATGGCTCTGACATCCATCGGCTCTGAACTGTCCCTTCTGCAGGCCACCCACACCTCCTGCCCCAATCAGGTCTTACATCCCATGACTTTTAACATCTCAGGTTTTGCCTTATCTAACATGGGCATTCACTAACATTACGTCAATACAGTATGTACTGAGAAGCCTGGTAACATCTTCACAAAACAGTAAAATCCATGCACAGCTTTCATCAAATGCCTTTCCATTCTGACCTAACCTGCACGCTGATAGTACCTCACTGATCCCTACTGTCTAACACACTGCGATTAAGCAGGAGGGACACCCAGCCTTGGGGAGATCTGCTCCTGCTCTGGAACATCAGTCCAGGTATGATCTGGCTACTCTTTTAAAAATAAGGTGAGACAGTAAAAATGAGCTTGCTGCCCTCCTCCACCCACCACTAACGAGTCACAAGCTGCTACAGCTGCCGGTGTGCCAGCCCGAGGATGCATGGGGCTGCATGTGACCTCACCTCCGGTGGGCTCTCCTCCTGCTCCATCACAAGGGGCTGAGTCACCAGGACACCAAGGAGGGTGGCCCATGTTTCCTCAAACTGGGTGCGGCTGGTCCACCCTATGAATGCAGATTATATGTAAGACAGAGGGTCACCCACTCCTCCAACTTTTTGACGTGATGTGACTGCTAGGCCATCAGCTCTGACTGGAACAGGCAATGCCCAGGGCCACACACAGCAGCGCCCTCAACCCTTGGGACAGGTTTGTGATGCAGAAACTGGCAGCTCCTGCCCACCAGCGAGGACACTGCAGCACACACATCTGAGTTCGGCACAGGCAGCCTGCTGGAGAGGCACCCTGACCCCAGCCAAGCAGATGAGGCCAATAAAATGGGGCCAGAAAGTCAAGCCATCAGAATGGGCTCCTGGATGCACTCTGCTAGCCCGCAGACAGGGACCTGCTGCAGTGTGTGCTGTGAGCTCTACCTCGATACAGCTGTGAAATGAGTTAAAGTGTGGTGTCTCTGACCCTGCCTAGAACAGATCAAAAGGAACACGGTGTAGCCAGGGGCACGCCAGTCCCCAATGAGGGCAGGTGGACAGGCCCTCCTCAGACATCCACACCACAGGCTGTGCTTCTCGGGGCTGGGGAAGTGGCTGCTCTGAGGGCTGCACCCCGTGTTCCATCTCATCACCTGCGCTGTGGCGACAAGTGACAGGATCTCTCTGCTAAACTAGGTGTAGGAAGAGAGACAGACAAGCTAAGATATGGGTTAGACATACACACTTGGATATAGGCAGACAGATGTACGTGGGAATTTACATAGGGAGAAGGAGGTGAGGATTCCCACGGGAGAGAGAGTGGGCAAGAACAACAGCAAATATCGGGACAAGATCACAGCACTGCCCTGGGTCCAGGTCCCACTGACAACACAAACACAAGGACGGCTCGGGAAGGAGGAGCTGGCATCAGGCAGGAGATGCCCAGGGGCTGCATGGTAACAATCTCTAAGGAGAGGGGGAAAACCACTCCCGAGGCAGCTGGCCTCAGACCACTGCTCAGACCTCATCTTGGACGGACGGGGTAAGGCATCGTCCGAGTGACTGGAGGGAAAGGCAGGACCACAAGGTGTCTGCTGCCTGAACCTTCAGATCAAAGTGCGCACCAGGAGCTGAGACGGGGCACTGCTACCTGTGTGCTGTGTGCAGGGCTGTCTCTGAGAATTTCTAAACATGCGGCAGTTCTATGGAGCAGGCAGGATGTTGTTTGGTGGATGACAGAGCTGGGGCCTTGGGGCTGAATGACCTGCCCACACTGGAGCCCAGCACTCTCATCTAAAGTCCACTTTCTCCGCACTTTGCCACAGGGCTCCGTTACATCATCTGCTGTCACACAGACGAGGCAGGCATCCGTGATCAGAAGGAAACACGCAGAGACAATCACCATCACTGCTTGGCAGGGTGCCTCACATGAAGACTGGACTCGGCTCCATATCACCAACAACGGTACCCACCCTGACTTCAAACAAGCCTGACACATGAGAACTTGGGATTAAACTCTCACACACAGGAACATGGATGGAAGTTCTCACTGACAGCTTTATATCCACTCAAAATGTGTTCCTGCGAGCAGGGCAGCCCTGATGCTTTCACAGGTGGGGTGGGCAGAGGGCACTGCCCGGGTGCCGGGCTTCCCCAAGGCTGCAGTTGCAGCAGTGCCCAGGAGGTGGCGGCCCACCTAGCGTGTTGATGCGGTAGATGAACTCCTTGAAGACCTCCTTCTCCTGAAGAAACTCCACAGGGATCTCGGGGAAGGACGTGCCGAAATCCCCTCCCGGCGTGGGTGACCACCCGAGTTTCCAGACCTGAGAGGATGAGGAGAGGGCTGCTGAGCACCAGCTCCCTCAGGCCCCCTCAGGTCCCCACACGTCCTGTCACCACCCCCCCGCAGTGTGCTGTCCCACTCAGGCACGCGGGTCCATGGCCGGTGAAGGGAGGACCCTTGGTGGAGGGGCTCATTCACAGGAGAGGTCTGTGCCGGCGAGTCCCACCCCACTTTAGAAGAGTCAGCATTCCTGCTGGCCCAGCTGTGTTGCAGCCCGAGGAAATCGACAAGTGTCGGGACAACATGCAGTACCCTGGCCACTGGTGAGAAGGCGACTCAGAGCTGGCCCATCCGGGTCAGCCGGAATCTCAGGCCAGGGGCCTGGCTCTGCAGGGAAACACCAACTCACCAGGGGGGGGACGCGCGTGTAGCTGTTGACGAGGGGCAGGCGGGCCAAGCTGACCACGATGTTCCTGAGCACTGGCGTGAGGAAGGCGGGGGTGCCACTGTTTCTTTTATGACCCAAGGCCAGCACGGTTGGCAAAGACTCCACCAACTCTGCTACCATCCTGCAGGCTGCGGCGATGTATTCGGGACCTAAACAGACACCGTGGTCAAGAGAGGATGGGCTATTTGGTCAAAACACACCCACCCTCCCAGTGTAGAAGGCACACTCCACAACCAGAAAGGTGGTGCCCCTGGGGAAGGGGGGATCCTGCCCCATCTCTGTGGGATGAACTGGAGCCTTGCATCCAGCCAGATTCTCCAGGGAAGGGTTGGAATGGCCCTGGAGACAAGAAGTCTTCCTCCCACCCTGCCTCGCCACCATGCTCAGAGTAAAGTGCCTGGATTAAGAGAAGATACAGCAGGTACTGAGGTACGTGCCCAAGTCTAGAGTAGGGTTGAGTGAATAGATGCAGGCTTTTGTTTCTATAGGAAGAGTAGGAATTTTTATTTAAAAATCCACCAAAAGAGACGGCTGAAATATACACTCAGGTTACCTAACGTTCAGGTGGGTACCTCCACTAACTGCGAGTTCCTTAGTATTTCTATTTATTTGTTTGTTACTCAGCATACACTGGATGGTCCATGACAACAGTGAGAACACAGAGAAGGGAAACATACTCCCTGCCCCCAAAGGGCCAGAGTCTAAGGTGAGAGACATACGAAGCCATAAGTGCATAGAGAACGAAGTGCCAGGACAGAGGAGCGGGCGGAGCAGAGAGGGGGAGGGCCTCCCTGGGAGAGTGGTGCCCCTACTGAGTTTGGCAGTTGCAGGGAGCCCTGGGCCAGTGGAGGAGCAGGTGCAGGGCAATGTCCCCAAATTGTCCTTCAACGTTGGGATGAGCAACAGGACACAGTGAGGTTCGCCTCCCAGGGTCCGCATTTACCACCTTACATGTCTCTTGTATAAATGAATTTCAAGCCCCAAACCCAGGTCTTGACTTACTCTGCGTGTGTGAATCGATTCCGCCGTCCTCTCTGGCAGCCTTCGGGGTGTCTGTCCTTCTTTCTGGACCGAGAAGCTGGTCCCCGGGCTGCACCACAACTAAAATCGTAACAGGATACACAGGAGAATCTCCAAACACTTTTACCATTCCTCTGTGTTCAAATTTCACATTTACGCAGCCTCGTGGTATTTTACAGTGACAGACTATGTCCAACAAGGTCTAGACATCCTAGAGTCGACTTTACACACCTTTAGACCATGCCAGACCCAGGCATCAAGGTCTTGGTCAACCTGAAATGCACAGGAGCTGGGCTCCTGGGTTCAGATTTCTAAGTCCTTCCAACTGCCTGCTGCCGCCAACCCACCCCGAAGGCTCTACTAGGCGGCCCATGATCCATCGCTGCTAAAAGAACACTGCAACCCCCAAGACGCCTGGCTTTGAAAAATTACTCCCTGGATCTTCATTTTCAAGTCGACTACAAATGCACAGATGAGAATAATTTAAACAATGACACTTCAAAATACCACTCTATAATGTTCAATTTAAAAACACAAAACTTCAAAACACCCTCCAACATGTAAACTATAATGTCCAATTTATTAAAAACTTTGGCTAATGACCCCTGTTGAGGACACTGTCCCTTGAAAAGAATAACTCATTTCTACTTGGCAACATATTAGCATTACAATGCGGTATAGAAACAAGCACTTCGGCCGCAGCAGAAAACCAGTCGTCTTCTGAACGTAATCTTACTGATCCACAATTACTCAGGGTGAAGAGCACGAAACAGCCAACCAGGGCCAGAGATCAGAGGGACATATTTTTACAAAAGCTGGAACTCCAAAGTCTAAGCAAAATGACTGCAAAGGCAATTTTAAGTTGGGTCCTAGTGCAAACCTCACAGCCCTGAAGACTACGCCCATATCGTATCCACCTGGACCCCCCAACCCCTAACTCAGCACCTCGCAAACGGGTGACACAGAATACATGTCTGTGAGTAGATCTGTGGAGCTGAACACTGGTTCAAGTGACAGAGGACAGACACCCACTGAGGTCACCAACTCACTGGCTTCCAGGATGAAGCGGACGCAGTGGACGAGGGAGCAGGTGTGGGTCACCATCTCCGGGGAGGCCAGTGCACTCCAGAGGCCGGGTAGCTGCAGGGCCAGGCAGCAGCAGTCCAGGCCTGCCTGCAGGTCCAGACTCAGTGGGACCTGCTCATGGATCAGATGCCACGACAGCGCCTGAGGGCAAGATCTGCATTAGAGGCTCAGACCCGGTTTCCTTCCTAAACTTGCTGCGGGTGCTGCCAGGGAAGCAGACAACTCCTGGCTGTCAAGGAACCACCGGGGACTCCACTGAGAGGCCAAGTCCCCAACACCCCACCCTTCCAGACGGACGGGCCTGCATTCCCACTCCCTCTGTTCAATCCTGACCACCTGCTCCCCAGTGCCTGGCTCCCCTCTCTGCCAGGATGGCCACCCTGACCTGGCTGAACCCTTTCCTTTAGCTCCGTGGGCTCCTAGAAATCCATCCCTGGCCACCTTCAGGCCAGGCTCTTCCTCAGGGCCCAGAAAGCACTGGCCTTGCGTCTGTCGTGGTCAAGAAGGCTACATTTGAGGGCAGGGGTTCTGGAGACAGCCAGCTTTGGCTTCAATACCAGAGTGGCTATGTCCTAGCTGGGTGAACCTGAGCAAGTCACAGACAGAGGTACCCTGTTCTCCTCACCTGTAGAGTGGGCATGGCAGGGCCCATCCTGCAGGCTGCAGAGACCTGAGTAGGCGATATAGGAAGTACCTCCCCGGCACACAGTGGTCACTTTAGAGCAACCCTATGCTTGCCAGCCTTTCCACTACATGGAATCCAGAGGACGGGTCACAGCCATCCGACTCAGCCTGGCTTCCGGTAACGCTTATTTGGGCTTTTTGAACAACTGACTGCACAATGCCTCCCAGCACCTCCTTCTGCCGTAACATGGCAGAGGCAGTTGCTGCTGGCTCGGCCCTGCCCCTGCTCAGGCTGCCAGGGCAGCTCTGCTCTCTGGCTACAAGGGTGCAGGTCAGACTGTCTTCCAAAGTTGTATGAAAGGCAATGTACTAACAACACGTACGCATTTGGGGGTAATTTTAAATGTTAACATGAACAGTGTTCAATACCCCATGGCTGAAGAGTCCAAGTTTACTGCTCAACTTAAAACAATAAATTTCTGCCCTGGCTGGTGTGGCTCAGTTGGCTGGGGTGTTGTCCAGTGTACCAAAGGGTTGAAGGTTTGGCTCCCAGTCGGGGGGAGTGCAGGAGGCAACTGACCAATGTTTCTCTCTCACATCAATGTTTCTCTCTCTCTCTCCCCCTCCCTCCCTCTCCTTCCCTCTCTGCCTAAGATCAGTAGAAACATATCCTCGGGTGAGAATTAAAAATAACAATACATTTCTCAGGTTATTTCTCAAGTATTGAAAATTAGGACCCACACTGCATTTGTAATGTTTCCTTTTCCCTGAAGAAAAAATTTAAATAGACGGCTTGTGCTAAAATCAAAGGCATCTTAAAATGAAGGAAGTAGGTTCCCATGTGAGCGCACACTGACCCCACTGTCCTGTGGAGACCCCAGGAGCCTGCACTCACCCTCAATCTCCCAGCTTCTCCTGACCCTCTTCTCCTGCCCAGCCCTCCTCCCTGATGCCCCTCTGCTATGACTGACGCCCTCTCCCCTAAGCCTGCTCCCTGGACAGAGAGAGAACCAACCACAGGTGTATGTAGGGGGAATGGGTGCAGGTGGAGTCCAGGTCCCAGACCTGGACTTGGCACTTCAGAGCCTCCCTTCCTCAGCTCTGGGTCGCCAATGTCACAAGGCAACTGTGTAATCAGTGTGTGAGCACTCTGGAGGGTGAGGGATGGACACAGTAGTGAACAAGCAGGCATGGTTGGAATGAGGCGACAAGTACACCTGACTGCGCCTTCCCTTGCACCGAGTTCCCAAGCTGTCCCTTACCTCCATGGTCATGACCACAAACTTCACAGTGTCCCTCTCCTTCTCTGGAGGAAGGTGCAGGTGGTCGGGCAGTTTGGGGAACACCAGCAGGTACTGGGCCAGGGCGCGGGCCAGCGTGGTCAGGGAGCGATACAATACGACATCCCCTGAAACAGAAGGTCTTCCTGGGTGGACGGAACTCTAGCAGAGGCTTATGACCTCTGAAAGGCAGGCAGGCAGTTTTCTGAGGCCCAGTTCCTCAGCAGCACATCTGCATGCCCTCCAGCCTGTGTGCACTCGGGGCTGTGTTCCCAGGCTCTGTCCTTGCTACCTCCAGGGCTCAGAGCCTGGGCTGGGCCAATAAAGAGCAAAGTGGACCACACACCAAGCCACATGAGGAGCTGGGAACCCCAGTGCCATGTCTGTTATTTCTGTAAATGCTTTCAATTTATTAGAGCAACAGCATTTGCTGTATGTTTACTTGGTGCAAAACATGGTACTGGCCCTTTGGCACTTTTAGAAATAAGAGACATTTTTAGCCCACATTTGGCCAGTGTGGTTCAGATGGGTGGGCATCATCCAACGCACCAAAAGGTTGCTGGTTCGATTCCCGGTCAGGGCAAATGCCCAGGTTGCAGGCTTGATTCCCAGTAGGGGGCGTGCTGGAGACAGCCGATCTATGACTCTCACCATTGATGTTTCTCTCTTTCTCCCTCTCCCTTCCTCTCTCCCTAAAAACCCTACTATATGGTGATGGGAAAAGATCTGACTTTGGGTGGTGAGCACACAGTAAAATATACAGATCTTATAACATAGAAACCCACACCTGAAACCTGTATGATCATATGGACCAATGTTGCCCCAATAAATAAATAAAAATTTTAAAAAAAAGACCTTTAAAAGTACTCAATTAAAAAAATCTTACAGTAAGTAAATAAGAGATATTTTTACTTTAATTACCAAACAGATCATTCAATTGGCTCCAGTAGGCGGTGGGCTCCGCAGGCAGGGAGGGCTGGAAAACCTGATGGACGGCAGGGAGCTGCTGAACCACACTGGTCATCCGGTCCAGAGTCGCCACTCGAGCTGCTTCAAAGAGGGGACTCTTCAGGCCTCCAGAAATTTCCCGCACGCCCAAGCCCAAGCATGGGGCTAACAGGCTGACGTTGAACTCCTGCAGCAAGTATTAAAGGTTCAACAATTATAGGCTTTCACCAGGCAGAAAAACAGCAGAAGAGAGGATAATGCAATGTGTCCGAGGCACACAGATAGCACAACATAAGAAACTGTAAGAATATTCTACTTCTGCTGTAAATAATTGAACCATGCTTAAACATGTTCACTGAAGTATGTTTCTGGTCTCTTTGGAGCGCTTTAGTTTTAAAGAAGTATCTTCATTTTATTATGCCTTCACATTTATTTGAAATAAAAAATTTAGTATGACAGTCCTGGCCAGTTTGGCTCAGTGGTTAGAGGGTCAGCCTCTGGACTGAAGGGTCCCAGGCTTGATTCCGACAAAGGGCATGTACCTCGGTTGCAGGCTCGGCCGAGATTAGGACGCGTGCGGGAGGCAACCAATTGATGTCTCTCACATCTCTCTCTCCCCCTTCCACTCTCTCTGAAAAAGCAATGGAAAAATATCCTCAGGTGAGGATTTAAAAAAAAAATTTAGTATGACAAAACTTTAACTGATAAAAATATGAATCCAACTGACGTGCCATCCAAGAAATCAGTGAAACACATGAACATCCCAAAGTCTGAAAAAGGCAGGTTATGTTCAAAAACAGCTGAAATAAATCAAAGTACCATAAAAATAACACAATTTGGGTTGGAAACATAGCATTTCATATGGCATTGCGATTTGTATTATTTTGCCAACTTTTTAAAACCATGTAAAGATTTTTTGGCCAATTTTCAGGTAGAATGTCAATCTTTAGTTAACAGTCAGAAAATCATATGTCATCATCAGTGACCCAAACTGAATCTGTCTTTTACAGCCAGAACCTTTAAAAGCTGGGCTGGGCTAATTTGGAAAATTCAATAAATTGGTCATTAAACAAATAGAACATTCAGCAAGTCAGCTTTCACAGAATGGATCTTAAAATTACTTTAGCAAACTGATTTGGGGCCAATTCTCCTGTTTTTATTTTTCAATGTAGCTCTTATTTTGAAACTGATGGAGAATTAGACTTGGGGACACTCTTCGTCCACCCCTGGCCCAGGCCTGTTCCCCACCCAGACCCCTGCAGTTTTATTCCCACTTGGCACATCTCAAGGTAGCACTAAAACAGCTGAAGTTTAGCTCACTGCTCACCCAGGAGGTCTGAGGAGGAGCCCATTAAGGCGGTGTCGGGAGACACAGAAAGGGGGCCCACTCCTCATAGGACCTGCCCAAGAGCAGAGTACAGGGACACGGAAGCTTTGCAAGGGTGTCCTGGGCCAGCTGTGCATGGCAAGTCTGCATGGCATCAGGAGCGGGGATGGGACCTTGTGACATCTAGTGAGGAAGTGGGGGACCTCACTGCATCTAGTAGGGGTGGAGGGGGCTTGCTGCATATGGGGGTGGGCCTCACTGCACATGGGGTGGGCTTCCTAAAGATCAGTCTCCAGAGCACCGTGAGAGTATTAAGTTATACTGAGTGACACCAGTGACACCATTCAGTGCCTCTCCTCACGCCCACGAGAGCAAGCAGGTGCGGCAGGCCATACTTTATGGGAACATATTTTCTTTACAGGTATGAGAAGTTGAATCAAACACCAATGGCCCTTTCTGGATGCTAACGTGACTGAAATACTGTCCTGTCCTGCCTGGACTCAAGTCCCTGCCATTGAGAAGACGGGAGAGGCAGGCATCCTTGTGGCTGCACAGTGACAATGACAGGGGAAGCTGTGCCTTCTCAGCAACAGCAAAGGCAGGGATTCTCAGTGGTCACGGCTCCCACCGTACCGGGTTCATCATGAAAGCAGTCATGTCACCAGGAGGGATCCGATTCACCAGCTCCGCCCCCTCCAGCAGCGCAGAGTCGGACCTCGTCCAGCACTGAGACTGGACCAGGCGCACGTACCAGTCCTGGGAAGGAAAGAGAGCTTGGTAACGGCCTGCAGTGGGCAGGATTTTCGGGGCCTCAGCTCTACAGGAAATGTGCTGTCTTCACCTGCCCCAGACCAGAGGGCCAGGGGCCTCCCAGGCTATGAACACAGTTCCCCAGAAGTGGCCTGTGGCTGGCCATGTGGGCTGCTCCCCACCACGGGGCGGACTCCGAAGGCTATGTCTGAACTTGCTTTACTACCTAACCCCTGCTCCTTCTCCGCTTCACCTGGTGAGGCCACCTGTCCTTCAGACTTGGCGACAGTCTGAGGCAGCAGGCACCATGCCCGCACCCCCACAGTCTGGCATGGCACCCATCACCTGCTGCTGCGCAGTAGCCTCGCCCCTCCCCCCCCAGGGCCAGCACAGCAGAAATGCTTAACAGACTGAACCTGAGAGCAGAGACCTGGGCTTCTGCTGTACTGGGCTGGGCTGCTGGTTTTTTAAATCCAATTCATGTTTAAACTGAACCCCCCTAGGAAGTAGAGTAGGAAGGCTCTCCGAGTGGTCCCTAGGTCTGAGGTTTGAGTGCAGAAGGTCATGATAACGTACCAGGGTCCTGGCAGGGAGGAGCTTCACATGCAGGAGGCCAGCCGGTGTGAGAAGAGGGAGACAGGCCAAGTGGCCCTGTGTGTGGGCTGCTGTCAACCAACTCCTCCCCCTCCCATCAACACCCCGGACGCTAACCGCAAGTGTCCCAATTCAGCATCTCCTTTCTCACCCCACACCCCTGCTAAAACTTGGGCTAGACCTCAGGCATCATGTCCACAATGGGACCCTGGGCAGAAGAGAGCAGGTGGGAGCCCTCTGGAGCTGTGCCTCGTGCCATGATGTCCCCCTACTTGAATCACTGCTGCACACTCAGTGCCAGACTGGGCCCACGTGCCACATACAGACACACTGGACACTTACCTTGTCTGGACTCACTGTCTCAAGCGCCAGGGGCCCATCCCCATCCAGCGGGTGGGATGTGACAGGAGGAGAGGGGCCACGCGACCCTGGTGCGGTGGAGAGACGAAGCCTGTCCAGCAGGGAGTAGAGCCTCTGGTGTCTGGAATCCAACCACACGTGGGTTAAAGCCCAGCCTCACAGGAGGAAACAACAGTGTTTCTTAAACTGACATACAACATGACAGACGCTTCCTTCAGAGCTACTTCTGATCAACACCCCAATAAGTTTACTTTTAATAAGCACAGTCTATGCCCCATAAATGTTTTTCAGAACTTTCATTCATACTCACACTGCAATAGGCAACACAAGAAATAACCCCAGTAAGAATGTTCTTTATAAATGCAACACAGACCCTTTGCTCTAAGATCCGTGTGCACAAAGTGCCCAACAGACACAGTTTATACCCATTATGTTCATTCAACAGAAGGACCACCTCATCGGATGCAAGATATTCACACTCTTCCTCAGCCAGGCTGAGCAGTAACTCTAGGGTCAGACAATAGGAACAGCTTGACCTCCTGTCATCTGCTATGAGAGTGACGTGAGAAGTTCAACATAGCTCAGCACTGAGTCCCGAGAGGGAATCCCAAGCTGGGCCCCACGCACCAGCCCTGCCCTCCTGCAGTCACGCCCTCCCCAATTAGACACCTTCAACCAGTTGCTCTAAGGAATCACAGCGAATGATTATATTCTCTCCTCTCACATGTTCCATGGCCCCCCTTGGGAGGAAATAAGGTAAAAGCTTCTCTTCATTTTCTTCACAGTCATGGAAACACACTCATATACAGATGTCATGATTTCTGATAAGACTCTAAAGACTTTGCAAACAAATTAGGTGATAAATAGCTATAAAGCAATAAAGTTTAACAAGATGCAGGCCCAGAATTGGGCAAGGTTTCTCGGAGTTGGCCACTCTCGCTTAGCAGTTAGACTACACGCTTTGATCTTGCTAAGATAAAGCTGGTAACCCATGTTCCCACTAGTCACAGCACACAGAGGCACTGCGAGTACATACCACCTCAAAAAGCAACGGGTGCGCAGGCACACCTCCCTCCGTGCAGCAGGGGATTCTGCCAGCTGTTCCTGACCTTTTATACGTGAGCCCAGTGTGTTTAAGGCAATGAGGCTCTGTACTAAGGCCCTGGGGCCCTCTGCAGCAAACCCATCCAGGAAGCACATCCACCTCCTGTCCTGTGAGTTTATCCCCTTACAAATCTTAAGTCTTTATATCCAAAGCAGGGAGCACCTGGCTCCGGCATTACCTGTGAGCAAGCCCGCTGCTCTGCAGGTGCTCCTGGATTCTGTTCAGTTCTTCCACTGGCAGCTGGGCCATGCTGCTCTAAAGTAGACAGGCACAAGTCAGAGGTTTGCCACACACGACCGATCGACAACAGTGCTCATCGTGTGCGTCTACTGTAGCAAAGGCAGGATACACTGACGTGTGCATCTACCTAGAAAAGGCAGACTAGAGGAAGGTACAAGAGCACCCATGTCAAACACACAGGACAACCACTCACACACACACACGTGTTTCTCTCGGGGCTGTATGGGAAACGTGCCTGCAGAGGAAGCACGGCTGACTGTCTGGCTCGCCCTGCTACGTTTCCACTAAGAACCAGCGTCCGTCTTTTGTTCAGTACCTGTAAATTTGCAGCCAAAAGCATTTCTACCCGGCGACAAGCAAGTGTGTCAACCATGCGAGCCAGCACGCGGAACGGAGTGCACAAGAGCTTGTCCACATACAGCGTCAACACGGCGCCCGACTGGCTGAGGTGGATCCCTTCCAAGCACTGAAGCGTTTTCTTCAGGGTGGTGGGCTGCATAGAGAGAGGGAAAGAGGGTTCTGCCAGTTGGAAGTCAACAGTTAAAAATTCCAACACTCTGTTTAGCAGGTACAGAAAACTGACTGACAACAGCTGGCACCAGGGAGACTTACAGCCGAGAGGTTTTCACAGCGAGACTGAATGGCTTGGATGAAAAGGCCACTGGCGGCGGAATTCCGGTGAACAGCACTAATGAAGTCCTGCACGGGAGGCTCGTGGGACAGACTGATTAGGTCTTGGATGTGGTTGACAATCAGCCACGTCAAGTGCTCAGAATCGTGTAGGTTCTGACACTGCGGAAAAAGATGATTGAAGACTCACTGTCAAGGAGACCGGAGAGGACAGACGTCAACACCCAGAAAAGGCCAGAGGAGCAAAGGGGAAGCAAATCCCAGACTAAGGCGTCACTGAGAACAGCCAGTGTCTGCCCCAAGGAGCATGGGGGAGGAGCTCTCTCCCAGGCTTCAGTCTGGCCTGCTGAGGGTCTTCTCAATTACTCTTCCTCCAGTCTTGTAACAGGTCAGTGGAAAAAGAGAATTCCCTATAATTGTCACAGTTTTGACAATTCCTGAATTCAAAATACGAATGGATCCCACGTGCCAACTAGAAAGGGAGACCACTTCACTTAAGGTTTATAAGGAAATAAGAAATACCCATTTTGGAATACATACGCATTATGTAATTATTTTTCAGAAGTGTAACAAGGTAGAAAAGCCATTTCAACATAGAAAAATTAATATTAATGAACTGCTACCACAACAGAATAACTATCCTGAGGCCTAGTCCCTACTTCCTTTTCCGATTCAGATGTTTAACAACGACCTGCTGGGCAACAGCATCATGTATATGGTGTCACGTTCATACCAAGAAACGAGTGTTTTTAACATAGGTGCAGGAAAAGTACTAAACCCCAACCAAAACGTAACAAATTTAAGGAACTCTTCAGTAATACAATTAGAGGAAAATTTTTTTCTTTTGTTTACATATTTGGTTTTTGGAAATTTTCTATGTTAAATATGTGATGTTAGTTTTCTGGTCAAAAATTCAAGTTATTTTTTAAAAAAATGTCATCAAACAGGAATCTATGTTAAAATGTAGCAATGAACATCTAACACCTTCTCCACAGACTAAAAAAAGCAGTTACTCAGAACCCCACTCTAGCCCACACTCATCCTGTTTCTATTGTTATTACCCCACTGCTTCCCTCGGCAACAAGACTGCCCACGATCCGCCTGGCATGGAGCCACCTCCATGTGAGCTCTGCAAGGGTAGCTGGATGATCCCTTCCACAGACACACTCAAAAGCTCGTGACCAACGGCCACGCCTGGTTTCCACTTAAGTCAGAGCAGAACTAAACTTTAGTTCTGGACTTCGGCTGGGACAGGGCGGTCCATCTGACCGGAGGCGGCCTGTCCAGAGCCTCCTGCCTGGCATCCTCCAGGCCCACCGCCCTCTCGTGCGCCCGCACTTACGACGTAATCGCAGAAGAGGATGAGGGCGCCTCGCCGGACGATTTCTCTGTTGCACATCCCGAGTTTGGACGCCAAGTCGGAGTCCTCCTCCTCTCCAGACATCTGGGGATTCAGCGACTTTGTGCTGGACAGACTGCGTCTTCTGGAAGGAGCACAGAGGCATGATAAGGTTTCAGGCGGCAGCAAGCTTGCTTTCAAAATACTGAAGGCAGTTTGGTTTAGTTCTGGTTCTGAAGTGGGACTTAAGGCCGCTGCGTGCGGTGTGCGTGTGCTGAGTGCTCTCAGCTGCCCACTCTGAGCAACAGCAGAGCACAGGTGGGAAACTGCAGCCACAGAGGACTTCACAGGCAGGTAGGAAAATGCCAACCGCACAGAATTCCACGGAGCTGCGCCCCCGCCAGCACACTTACTCCAGCTCACTGGCTGCTAGAGCCCCCTTTGGTCTGCATAAAGCCATCAGTGGCCAGAAGACCTTTCGGCTCCTATTTTGATTCGATTGCCAATAAAACACTAACAACTCCAGACATGCCCGCAGCATATATGCTGTCACAGAAACCCTGCAAAACCAGCACCTCTGCAAAACCAGCTCTCCACCGTGAAGGCGACTGCTCACTTTCTCCTCCTCACTCGTCTTCTCCAGAGATGGGGTTACACTCGGAGACTCAGCTCTACCCCAACACTTCACACTCGCAAACAGCCCCTCTGACTTCTGGGTCTGATCCAGACCATTCAAGTGTACCTTTTACGTGGAAGGTACTGGGAATTTTAAGGTAAATGAGACAGTCTCTGGCCTTAAAGAGCTTATAAATTATTATTTTTTAAAATATATCTTGCCCTGCCAGGCATGGCTCAGCAGTTGAGCATCGACCTAGGATCCAGGAGATCGCAGTTCGATTCCCAGTCTGGGCACATGCCCGGGTTGTAAGCTCAACCCCCAGCAGGGGGCGTGCAGGAGGCAGCTGATCAGTGACTCTCATCATTGATGTTTTCTCTCTCTCCCTCTCCCTTCTCTCTGAAATCAATAAATATATCTTTATTGAAATATCTTTATTGAAATACACTGATTTTAGAGAGAAGGGAGAGGGAGAGAGATAGAAACACCAATGATGAGTCATTGATCGGCTGCCTCCTGCACGCCCCCTGCTGGGGATCGAGCCCACAACCTGGGCATGTGCCCTGACTGGGAATCGAACCGAGATCTCCTGGATCCTAGGTTGATGCTCAACCACTGAGCCATGCTGGCTGGGCTGTGAATTTTTTTTTACGTATAGCCACCATTTAATGGTGGGTGATAAGAGCTAAAAAGGCAAACACAGAGTGCTCTGTGGCATCTAACAGAGACTGGGTACAAGGCAGGAGATATGACGTGGGGGAGCCTCAAAGGAAACATCTCAAAGGAAAGGCTGTTTAAAGACTGAAAAGAAAGAAGAGAAACGGGGAAAGAGGTGGGGAAGAGCTGTAGGAGAAGGAACCCGGCACGTGGGAGAAACCCCTAAAGCTCACAAAGGCCAAGGCCAGGGGGTTGGAAATATTCTGGATGGAAATGAGGCAGGAGGGGTGATCTGAAGAGAGTCAGAATGATGCCCCTTTTGTATGAGGAAAGACTTTTTACCTAAGCATTTTCCTCATGAGTACTAATGTCTCAATGGGACAGTACCTAGAAACTGAGGCTTAAAGCTGAAAAGTTTCTGCAAAACCAAGGCCACCCACAATCAAGTACTTCATGAGTCTTTTTAAATAATAAAAAATAAGTTATTCCCAAACAGTTCTGAAATGTTGCTAAATAATTACTTCATTGTCTAAGAACAACCAGAACCATATTTAACTCATAAGAAGTGAAGACATTGCGACATGTCTGGCTCTGGGACCAATTTAAGGCTGAGAACCTAGCAGGAGGGATGCGGCATGGAGAACCGCCCACAAGACAGGACAGTGTCAAAGAACTTGTCAAACAAATCACACTGAAAAAGCAGCAGTGATCCGAGTGCCTCCAGTCAGACCACATACTTTCCCTACAATAGTGCCTGTGAAACAAAGACAGACACTCAGAAGAATCTTTACAAAGCCCATGGAAAAGGGGCCAAGCCTCAAGGCTCTGAGGCTCAGCAGCGAGGCCAGTGGGGACCCACCTGGGGGTCTGCTGCACCTCGGCCCACCAGCGGTAGTCAGTGTGGCTGACAAGCAGCAGGATCTGGCACCAGAGCAGCACGAGGGCCGGATGTGTGGGGATCATGGAGCGCACCCGCGCATTCAAGCTCTCCAGGCCATAGAAACTGCCATCGGAGCTGTCTGCTGTGAAGAGTCTAGACGCAGCTGCTGTGATTCTCCGGAACATTCCTAGAAACAGACCCAAAAGAACACTGATTAAGGGAAAAATCTTTGTTGCTCATCGAGGTCCAACACGTTGTAGCTAGGAGAAGATTTCACAGAAGACCACGCACGGCTTTCCTGCACATAGTATTCAAAGGGGCCAGCAGGCCTCTCCACACCCACTCCTGCTGACCAAAGGGCTTCTGGGCTTGCTCAGACTGAGGGGTAGCAACTACAGAGGTTACGGGGGCCACAACAAGTGGCAGAGAGACTGGGACTCTCCATGAAAGGTGCCTCCTGCCCGGAGGATGCTGTCATTTCTGCATCAGAGCCATCAGCAGCCCTCACCCTTGCCCATGCGTGAATGTCAGCCCATGTCAGCTTATTACCCAGGAAGAGCTGTCCCCCTCTGCCTGTATCCCTACTTTGTCCCACACATAAGGCAGGGATCGCCCCTTTGAGAGTACTGGGAGGGAGCCCTCCAGTTCAGCTCTCCTGCCTCCAAAAGGTCAGAGACGGCCCTGTCACCCACTGCTGCCCTCGTCCGAGTGTCTGATTGCGGTGGGGAGGGGCCCACCACGTGGACACGGAGAGCATGTGGGCACAGGAGGTCTTACACCAGCTACACGCCTAGAGCTTCAGCACACCAACTCTACATGCTAACTGCACCTTATTTACATAAAAGTGCAACAAGAGTTACTTCAACTCTCTCTCAAAACCAACCAAAGTAATTCTGCCCTCTGATGTCTTTAAAAGAAATAGTCAAAATAAATGAGAAGGTACAAATAGACATTTACACGTGCATGAGTGCACCTTAGCCACACATATCAGACCAACCAATGTCCAAAGACAACAGCAGCAAGCCCACGGGCCCAATGCCCAGCCCCAGGCTCCTCAGCACAGCGCACTGCCTTCATCAGACCTGTCCTAACATGGGAGCCACCAGCCGCTGTTCACATTTAAGTTAATTAAGCCAAATTAAAGTAGCTCCTCAATCACACAGGCCACATTTCAAGTGCCCACAGCTCTCTAGCGGGCAGGTAGGATGGGCCTGCAGTCCGGTAGGGTCAGGACAGGCACGCGCTCCTGTGGGCGAGTGGATGCACCTACCAGACTTGAAGATGTGGATCAGACACATGAGCAACGTGCCCAGTTCCTGGCAATAGAAAGTATGCTGCTGCTCACTCATCTCCACTCTCAGCTGTTTCGTGACAATGTCCTCTAAGAGAATGCCAACCAGCTGTAGGAGAAACCTGTGCAGAAAGGGACATGGTGATGGGGACTGGGGACACTGCAGGGCACTGAGGTGAGGCAGACATATGAAAGTGTATGCAGGAGACACTATCTGTAGTGTGGAAGGGTGGGGAAAGCAGAGGAAGCCATGGCACGCTGAAGCCCGCCCCTGGACAGACCCTGCGCCCTCCGCGTCTCCTTCCTCACGTGGAGGTGGCAGCAGCTGCACTACCCTCAGGGCACTGTCAGGAGGACAACACTGCATGTGGCCTGTGAGGATGCTGATAACAGCACAGGAATTTAATCTCATCATCTTAGCTACCTGCTCAATGTGACAGAGGGAGCTCAGGCTCCTGCTGACCTGACAAACAGAAGGGGCCACAGGGGCCTCCTGGGCTCATCACCACACACATGGCAACCCTAATGATGACCACGAAGGGCAGCTAAGTGCGTATTATGATGGTCCCAGCTTGAAAGCACACACGGCAGAAACTGTGCCCACGACATGTCCTCTAAGCTGCTCTGCCTCAGTGAGGGCCCAAGTCAGCCAAGGTGGGCACACACTTGTCCAGGGCAGCGTCTGCAGTGCCTGAATCAGGGTCGTAGCCCTCAAGGAGCCTCTAAACAATTGGGGAGCAGACACAATTTGCTACCACAGTATCCTGTAGGGAGCATGGTGGAGCAGCCACCCTGGCAGGGAGGTTGTATTACGGACAGTGTTGAGTACAGCCAGCACTTCTGGTGGGTCCTCTTATATTCTGAATGGCCTGTGCCCAGGGCAGGCCACCTCCCACTGTTGCAGTGAGCCCCACGGCGCCGTGTCTCAGGAGGACGTTAGGCAGAGTGTGAATGAGCCAGGAGAGAGGCATGAATCAAGGGCCAACACAGGGCACCGTCTTCACCCAGCTCGCAGAGGAGCTAGTCCAACTTTCTGATCATCAACACCCCGTGGGCTGCAGAAGGAAGGGAACTAGAAGGGTCAGATATACAGCACACCTTGAGAATGTTTCTTCTGGCAAACTCTTCCCCTGTCTCTCTTCACTGTGTCCTTCTGCCACTGAATCACTGTCCCCATCTCTTAGCCTATGAATCATCGGACACGAGATTAGGTATGGAGAGAAGGACAGCTCCTGGATGCGGGAAAGGACAATGTCTTCAGTCGACTGGGAGATGAGCACCCTCAAAATGGCCAGGATTCCCGAGATCCAGAGCTGGACAGTGCTCACGGATGCCTGAAGAAGGAAAACATGTCTGTTATAGTGAATGGAAAGAGAGAATTAGGTTTTCCTTGATGGCCAATTTCAGGATAAGAATTAACCCGCTTCTACCTTTCTGCCAACAGATCCCAGGCCCATGGTTCTGAAGTGTGGTTCCACACAGCTGCATCTCCCCAGTAGGAACTGGTGTAAAGTGCCAGCCCTCTGGTCCCACCCTGGCCCAGCAGGGCCGCGTTGATAGGGATGAACTGCGCTGCAGGGCTGAGTCTAAGATGCCACCTCGAGGGGGCAGGTACTCACCATGGTGTCTGGCGTGACGAACATGCTCCGTAAAAGCATGTCCACGGGCCGCAGGGAGGAAGGGGCCAAAATCTCAAACAAAGTGTTTAACACACCAAGGGCTTCATGGGAATCAATATGCATCTGCAATTAAACAGCAAAAAGCCGACACTTATGCTCAGGACAGATGGCTCCGGTCAGACAACCCTGACCATCCCTTCACCACCCGGCACATAAGGTGTTTTAACGTCAGTGTCGACCAGGCCAACACTCGAGAGCACCACTGTACCACTACACCTTTACACAAAGCAAACCTTTCATGCAGATTTTCATTATATAAACAACATACATTTTCTGTAAAAGATTCAAATACAAAAAAGAACAAAAAAAATTAGCTGGAACTGCACCCCCGACATACCTACATCAGCCACCTTGGGAAGCCACCCTCTTCATTTGTCTTCGCTTTACCTGCACCCATCCCTCCAGCCACTCAGTGACCAATGGAACAGCCTGTGTATCCCTCTCCTTCGGCCTTCCCCATGCCCCAACCAGAGGGGTTTCTGATTGACGGGTTTTGATAAGTCATGTAAATGTCCCTGCTTTTTTCCTTAAAAATACGAGACCTCCCAGGGCAACAGGCTTTCAAACTCAACATTTTTAGAGGATACAAGACATTCCTTGCTAAGTCCCAACCTCAGTGTATCCAGCTTCCCCAGCCCCCTCGGAGGACGACGGGGGCTGACGGTTTCCAATCTCCATCACTAACCCACGTCTGTACAGGGTCAGCATCTCTGGGAGGAGATGATTTTTCCAGGTGCAGATCTGAACCCACACAGCGCTGAGCCACAAGGGAACAATGGAGACCTGGGAGCTCCTAACTCCTGGACCACACCCATGCCAACTCTGCCTCTTCCTGGGTGCCCACTGCCAGTGCCTACTGCCCTTATGCAGCCACCCCTAACCCGCATCTGGTGTCTGCTCAGGAACACTACAGTGGCAATGTTATGGGTCCTGCATTGCCAATCCCCCCTGGCTTTTGCTCTCAGTGCACACATAGGCCATCCTTTCTCCTAACTTAACTCTCCTCTGACCCCTCTCCTCCTCGGGGAGCCACCCATGGGACCCATGTGTGCTCCTTCTTAGAGTAACTCTCACTGACACACAGCGGGGTTCCTGCTCCCTCCGCTCCACCTGCCCTGCTCCCCCGGGTCTGCCAAGAGCAGGCTCAGTCCCTGGGGCTCATGGACTTGGCCTCTCAGTAGCCCCGCCCTGCCC